AAGACTGGATATAAAAGGGCAAGTTAGAGCAGAGATCATAGGTAAATTATGAGCTGATTTGTTTACTTTTGCTGGAGGTGTTAAGCAGGTAAGTGCTACAGCAGGAAGTTAAACAGCGGGAACAAAATTCAGAGTTTTTTATTGCATTTGAAAAGTAGCCCAGACACCTCCCCTGCCCGCAGTGGGAGGGTGAGTTAGAAAGCGAGCGCTTTGCAAGTGCTTCGCACTCCTTTCCCTTCATCTCGCTTCCCTGCCGGGTAACCCGTAAACCCCGGCGTTCCTGGGGGAAGGAACCTCCCTCGGGAGGCAGCCTGCCCCGGAGAGCCGGTCCTGCGGGGCTCACACCGGGCGGGCAGGGGGCCGAGGGCAGATCCCAGCCAGGACCCAGCAGCATCTTCCCTCGCCCCGGCTTTCCCCCGGGCGCTGGTTCCCTACAGCCCCGCCGCGCCCTGGGGGGGCGGGAGCTGCCGGGGCCGCGGGGGGAGCGCCCCGCCGGTGGGATACTCACTGTTACGGTCGGCTCCGGCGCCGGTGTAGTGCCTGCCTCCGTTCCTGGCTTGGTTCAGCGTGCTGTTGCTGCTGGGGCTCGCTGCAGCGGGTTTAACGACGTGTGAGTAAAGTATCTCTGTGGCATCGTTCTTGAAAGCCAAGTAGGTTTTCGTGAAGATGCACGCTAGGAGAAAGCCGTAGAAGTGAATGGCAGGGAGAAGCATGGTTGGTTCAGTCTCTGTCTGACAGAGCTGGATGAAATCTCTTTTCTTCGGCTTCTTCTGGGTAACTCTGAAATTGCTCTCGAAGGTTTCCTTTATATATTCAGAGAGGCTTGGCATTCATTCAGGTGTAAAGTTGTGGATAGCTTCAGAATGAAAACCCACAAAAGGGGTGGGATCCCTGCATGAGCCTGCGAAGACCTTTTACCAATAGGAGAGAAGACTGCAGTAAAGGAGGAGTTAGATGCACTAATTGCAGGATTCCTATTTGGGGCTTCTGAGGGTATCACAAAACTCTGAGGCACCACACAGCAGCATTCGGGCTGGGACCTAGAGGCTGCCGGCTGTGCCCCGCCGTGCCGTGTGGCCCTGCGTGCCTGGCACTTGGTGTGATGGGACTAACACGGTGTCACAACGAGTCCGTCTTGCTCCTGTTATGCAAAGTTACTTCCCCTCTTCTCGAATGTGACTTTCAGAAAACTTGCCAGCTCTGTGTGGATGCAAAATTTTATGGAACTTGCAGAAGACTGCTAGTTACACAAATACTGTCTGCAATATACCAAGATCACTTAAAAAAAATACTGTGAATAATTTAAAGCTGCCTCTAGCTGCTTTAAATTATGCAGCTTTGATCAACAAGGAGCACTGCTAGAGAAACTGCTTGTTTTAGGGGAATATTCTCTCCCTGGTGTGCGGAGCTACAAGTATGTATTTCTGTATCACCACGCATAAAAAGTATCTCCTCTAGGCTCCTTAGTACAAACACATCCATATTCATAGCTCTCACTATGCTCATTCATTCACCAAACTAGTCTTTTTTAGTTTTGTACATTGCCTAGAGCATTCTTATATTTTTAATGTATTATTTCATGTGATAAAGAAAACAAAGAGGAAAGAAGAATCCTTATTTTGGCATATTATTTTACTGTGTCACACACTTACTTGATTTTACATAAAATTACATGGTGCAAATCCAAACACTAGTGTAAACTGAGATGCTGTCAGTAGGGCAATGCTTGTCTGCATCGTGGTGAATACTCTCTAGATTTTCATTATACACAAACCAAGAGTGATCAACAGTTAAAGCTATAGCGTTCTAATTAAAAGGAGATCTTTTTTCTTGGGAAAAAGCACAACCATGCAGGAGGCCACCTTATGTAGAGGACAGACTCTAATCTCACTTACACCCTTTGTAACTGAGTTGATATCTATAGTCATCCTGGATTTTATTTGCTGTGATGAAAGCAGAAGTGGAACACAGGTCAGTTACCTCCGCTGTCGGAGACAACCTTGTTCATCCTAGTCACAAGCAGACATGTGTCTGTATCAGCAACGCTTCCCTCTCACGTCACCAAAAAGTTTCCCTGATTTCAGCATGAGTAAGGACAGATCCACAGTAAGTGACAAATTGACAGCCTTCGCTTAAAAGACACAGGAAAAACAGGAGTGTTGCAAGGTGAAGTGAGTTTTACTGGCAGAGCTGTGTGTGGGGAAGTTGAGTTGATTGCCTGCATCTATTATGACTAGCCCAACCCAGTTCTGGAATAACAAGAATGTTGCAAGGCAGAGTGATATCTTTCAGCAGAGTAATGTATGGAGGAGTGGGATCACTGCTAACCCCTGACAGAGCTCCAAGTTCCGCTCTCATGGAGCATCTTGCTTAACCACAAAAGCAAAGATGGACATTTTACCTTTGCTTTAAAAAAGAAGTAGAAAGTTTCTCGAAGCAAATTATCAAAGAAGATATGTACATTACAGACCATTAATATTTGAGCATGATTTTTCTTCAACAGCAGCTAACCAAAGGTCTACTTTGTCGATGTTCAAGTCCTGCTTCATTTTTTCTCATATTCACAGATCATACAGATCTGCACACCTCTCCCCTTCCCTGCAGGATAGTCTCTGTGCTGAATTGAGCCAATATAATTAAAAGCATGGGACCCATTTTCCAGTTATCCACAGTACCTGTGGATACCAGTCAGGGCACCTCTTCCTAGTAGAAAGATTTTCCCACATTAGACGAGACTTGGGAAAGTCAGAAGTTTCCTTGAGAGCTGTTTTCTTTGAAATAAGGCGTATAATCTTCTCACAGGAAAAACGAATGGGACCTTGGAGCGGCTATAAGACTGGATCTGCAAGGAGCTTGCTAAGACTTAACCTTTTCAGCTTTCAATGGAAGAGAAAAATCATCCTTTAAAATTGGGCTATATGAAACTATTAAGTTTGTCACTTCTCTTGGTCTCGTCACTTAGAGAAGGAAGGCCTCGAGACAAGCCTCTTACAGCCCTTGTAAAAAGGAAAAGGTTGGCCCTGAATTTGCCACAGAAAAAATAATACAGATTACCTCATTTTTCTGTGCACTAGACACAGAGTAGTCATTATTTTAATGCCGTTTGTTTTTTCCACTTGTTACAAGTACTGTAAATTTCATGATTTCAGTTCCTTGCTCAGTACTGTCAGCCTCCCTGCTTTGCAAAGTAAGTGGGCTTCCGAGGAGTTTGTCAGTTAACTTGATTTATACTTTCCTTCGCCAAACCCAGAGCTTGCAGTCTTTCACTTGTTCTGAGAGAGAGCAGTAGTCTCATGAGGGGAAGAGATGCTGGCCAGTCAAATTTGGTTGTTCTTCCTGAGCGAACTTCACAACAAAAAGGTGTTTCTTGATGCCTAGCTCAGAACAGGTTCCTAGAGTTAAAATACTTTTCGCTGTCTGTTAGTTAGATGATTGTGGTGAGTTCTCAAAGGTGAAGGCTACAACTTAACCTTTGTAGCCTCCAAAACAGACTTATACAACGTATAGTCTGTCCTTATCCTAGTCAGATTCGATGGCTTGTGTAGAACATCGCTCTCTGCTTAAACTGTAATATTGGCCATAAGGAATATATTACACAAGGCCTTTGAAGTCTGTACTGGCTTCCTTTTTGCCTCTGGGCATAACTCAGGATGTTCTTATTGATCTATAAAACCCTGTATGCTTTGAGTCCTAGGCAATAAATTCTCTCTCCTTTATCTTCCATTATGACGCTTAAGATCAGGCAGAGCGTACTGACTATACCTGAGTGTCTGGAGAGGCTGAATGCTCCACCTGAAGGGCCCAGGAGACTGGACTTCACTGCTCCCAAGGATCCACGAGAGCTCTGTTCTGCTGCGTGGCATGGGGCAAAGGCCTTTGTTGGGTCAGATCCTCAAGAGGTGGCTGTGAGGAAGGTGCAGGGAAGAAACCCGTTAACCAGATTCATTTAAATCTTTGCACATGTACTCAGGGATGAAGAGCTACATTTAACTACACACTTTTTTCAACCTAACTGCTTCTTGTCCCTGAACAAGCTTGCTTCTGAACAAACCTAAACATAGTGGTGAAGCCATCCATCACCCTTCAGAGAAAGCGGTATCCAGAGTTACCCACACCTTAAATCTTCCTTTCTGCATTGCTTGTGATGGGGAAAACCACACTTCTCTCAATTGCTGCGGAATAATACAAGGCATATGTTCTGTAAAGATCCCAAAAGAGAATTCCCTTCTGCGTGGTCATTTGTAAGTCTGTCAGGATCCCATCTTCCGTGTTCCTTAGACACGATAATGATGTCCAAAGGGCAAAGTTTTGTGCAGAGTGCGCACACCTGTCTAGCAGCACAAAACAGCCACGGGGAATAGCAGGGTATGCACTGACAAGTACAAATGACTGCCAGAGAGCCTTGTCTTTGCAAACCACATGATCTCTGAACGTGCACAAAATAAGAAGGAATTCCCAATTTTTCATAAAACTTGGGCCTGCCCGGTTTTAATAATGACAGGAGAAGGCCAGAATTAGAACGAAGGCTGCACAGAAAGAAAGGTTCAAAATTTGGGTTTATATTTTTATTTTCGGTCACAAAGAGAAGACCATTAGAGCATTGCACTTCTGACTTGTTTCCAAAGGCAGATACTTTGAGAATAAGTACAGGCCCAGATAAATGACTGCAAAAAAGAAGCTGACATTTATTACTTTGCACCTTAAAACAGAAATGACTGTCAGGCTATTTTCTGTTAAGCAATAAGCATATTAGTAATGTACTTCAAAGCAGCATAAAATGTGATTTGGAGCATGATAAGAGAACTTGTCTGAAAGTGAGGTAAAATTGTAATAAATGCAACTGTTGAGAACTTGTAAGCTATTGTGCAACAAGTTAGCATAGTTTTAAAGCTCACACAGAAAACATGTTAGAGAACCGAGATACCCCCGCCCTGCAAATTCTCAAACCAAAGATTTTTTTAATACTGAGGTTTTTCTATACTAAGTGGTACTTTTTAATTTTCTCAGTAAATTACATCTGAGAGATTCAATGGAAAACATAATATATATTCTCATTAATGAGAATGACTAATTAGTTCTGATTTATGTCTTCTTCATCTCACTAAGATTTCATATTACGATTTTATTTTTTTCTACTTGCTTTTATACATAATTTAGACAGAATAATTTAGGTCAGGCTGTGGCTTCAAAGGAGGCAATTTATCACCCTTATCGAAAAAGACATTAAATAGACTGAAAAGGGGGAAATATTTAAGTTTATTTTTAAATTCTAGCAACATTTACAGTAGGGTGAAGAACTGCTTGCACTAATTATAATTGCCACCTCTTCTTGAGCATTTGCAGTAAGATTTTAAGATCAGACTGAAGACGATGTGTCTTATTGTCATCCAAAACTTGTTTTATGATTTCTGCATATGTTGAAGAAGAAAGAAAAACAAGACAGGGTTTTACAAATGAAAAAATATGAGAATAACAGCTTGTTTATTGGGGGTAACATTTTCAGAAACTCTTAGGTGACACCGAAATGTTACACTCCTATTTTAAAGAGATTTAGGGCAATAAAGCAGGATTGTTTTAATATACAGAAACACTGAAGTCAACTGGACTTTGGTTATCTACATATTTTCTAAAATGTTGCCCTGAGGAGTGAAAGTCCTATTGATTTTCAGTGAGCCAGTGACTTAAATGCTTTTGAAAATTTTACCCTCAGGTTAAAATTCTGAAACTCCTACTCAATGCTAAGCAGGCAAAGTCCCATCAACATGCCCCAGTTGCAAATAAAATAGAAACTGAGTAAAGGTTTTGAAGTCTGACTTGTTTCTTTACGTGT